AAAAAAAAAAAAAAAAAAAAAATCAAACGGTGAGAATGTCAATGGTACGTAAAAAAATATCCAAATACGCGCCGTCGAAATGAGGATGCCGTTGATTGAACATAAACGGCGAAACGTACGAAGGGCGAGGTTTCTTTTTTATCTTATTCTAGCGTCGTGGTACGTCAGCTAGGTGATCATGTGTTATGCGATATCCGCTAAAAGGTATTATATACACGCAGTAATAGTTACGGAGTAGCGTTTCACATTTATCATACAGATAGACAATATTAACCTGGATGTATTTCAAATTGCGTAATGTTCGGCTAAACAATTCCTATATTTATCCTAACCGCTAGAAGGATAAACTAAATCTTAATTACGGTCGCATCTTACTTTGTGTTTGCTCGCTAACTTACTTACATTACTTAAAGAGTACTTAAAATTAATTTCTTGTAGGCATATACCTATGCATTAAACTCTTATTAAACTTACGTCGCGTTCACGTACACCAATCAACGTCATCGTAGAAAAAAAAGTAGTAGTAGTAATAGTAGTAGTAGTAGTAGCAATAGTAGTATCAGTAATAATAGTAAATTACGGGCGAAAGGATCCGTGTACTAATATAATCGATTAAAAATTGGTCTATGGGCCTACACTCGACGAGCGATAACGCTTGTACAATCATTCGGTGAAACAGTATATACGCGCACAAAGAGAGAAGTAACACAAAAAAAAATACAATGCACATAATATGTAGACGCGTGTAAACGAAAGTGAAAGAAAAAAAAAATGTCCGCAGCCCTTTTCCGCCCGCCGGACGATCGATTGTTCGACCATTTCCGAAAGTCGATCGCTCCTCTCCTCGAAAAGGCACGAGAAATTGTGTAAATTCCAAGCCTCTTAGTATCTCGTATCATCGCAAAGCTATAAGAAATCCGTATGTCGCGTAGAAAAAACTCGTACAACGTGTTTGTATGCGGCAGGGGTTTAAGAGTGAAAGTCGCGAAGGGTGAAAAACCCGCCGCGCTCGTCCCGGTTCCACCCCGGCCCTTGCGATTAATTGTCATTCGATCGGCGCTGATTGTTGATCCAATAGGGAGATCGGTTGTGGTCGGCGACGCAAACGGGAATGAACGGCCGGGAGAAGCCGCGTGGGGCTTCGCCGAACGGGAACGGCATCCCCAGGCCGTCGCGTATCGCATTGACGAGTTTTAAGTCACAGAGAAGACGAGCGATCGTGGACTCGCTGCATTTACGGTCTACTAAATGTACCGACCGGCGCCGTTCGCTTTTACACATCACGCACATTACATCTATGAAGGAACAAAAACGTCTGGGTACTCTCTGGGGATATTTGGCACAGATCAAACGGAATTTTCAACCCGCGACACGCGTCTCTCGCGGTTAACGCGACACGAGAACGCAGAAGAAAGGAGTCATATACGCGCGCACGGATCATTGGCCTGACCAACCGCGAGGTCCGCTTCGCCGTTCTACCGCGCTTTTTTTTTTTTTTTACTAATGTCAAATACTAAACGTTGCATGCGGATGTAATTTTTTTTTTGTTTTTTTGATTAATACCTTGTTGTTGTTCGATAGTTTTCACTTTCTTCTAGTCGCTTCGCGCTTATCCAGTGATAACCCCGTAATAAGTATCGAAAGAACATATATATACGCGTCGTTTATATCGTAATATTTTTCCTCGCGTCGTCATCTCGTATTTTTCATTTCCGTAACAATGTAAAAAAAGAACGTAAATATGTATATATATTTTATACTCTTTACAAATAATATATATGTAATAATTGTATATATGTATATCATACAGCGTACGCAGCCTTATGCGCTAGAAATATTATCGTGGTAGTTATTCGCTTAAGTCTAAAAATGGTCTATCTACTAAAACGGAAGGAGAAACGTCCACTTCGGGCAAGGGAAGAGGACTTTCCTCCGGAGGGATGGGGAAGGGAGGAGGAGAGAGGGAAGAGGGACTCTTCGAGATTCAAAGCGATCTCGTGGCGATCGTCGGAAATGATCAGGAGGAATCGTTAGTATTTACATGAGATAAAGCGCGAATAAACGTCGTTTTACCGTTTTGACAACTCGGCAATGAGGATCCTTTCGTCCTTTTCGAACTCAACTCCGTCCAACACCTATAAACCTCGTCCGCGATTTAAAATCACTTTGTCCTTCCTATCTAAAAATCTTTCGATCAGCATGCATTATTCTTCTTAGCGGTCTCTCTTCGAGGTGAAGGCGAACGAAGCGCGGCATGTGTTAGGAACATACATAAAAATTCATCTCTCTTCGGTGCATCTCGCGGCGTGTCTCCCCGAGTTCTTCGGCGCGAAGAAGAATGCACGTGATACTCGATCGCGACGATCGCTACCACTTCCCCCGTTTCCGCGAAACGCTCGTTTTTCTTCAAATCAGCTGAAAGGGATTCCTCATTTTCGAATGATAAGCTACGGTGATTTCGCGCGGTGGAGGCGAGTACATTGTCGTTCTGAATGCATCGTTCAGTATACGGAGCGCGCGGTGTTGCTGGATCACGAATGCTTCACCACGATCACGCCCGGCCGCTGCTGGGTCTGCTGTTGCGTGTGAAATTGGAGGAAACGCTCGGGGTGCAGTATCCGTTGTTTCGCGGGTGCTGCCGTGGCAGACGTCGTCGAGGACGCGGAGGAAGAGGAGGAAGCGGATGTGGTGGTCGCAGACTTTGTTGACGTCGAGTTCGCCGTCGCCTGTTGCTGCTGTTGTTGCTTCTGCTGCTGCTGCTGTTGTTGCTGCTTGTTGGTCAATGCCAGCGGCACATCCTGCGCGGGTTCATCGCTGAACAGATGATCGCCCTCCAGATGACGTATCGCCTCGACGATCGTTTCCAAATTCTGCCGAGACGTGTTTGCGATGTATAACCTTCCCTGCGTACCGTCGTCCAGAGAGTTTGACGGGGAAGGCAACCTGCAGCCGAGAAATTTTTCGTCAGTGCAAAATTGATCTTAGCTCTTTGCGTATTGAATTTTCTGCAAGAAATCAGAGCTACAATACTCTTATCCGTGCGAAGAGATAGCTTATGACATAGTGATTATTACGTTAGACAAATTAGATATTCGAAGCAAAAGTAAAACTAAGTGGCACATTTAAAGCGAACCAACTACTGATGTGAGGCCAAGAATCTTATCTTTTGCGATTCAAACAACGATGGTCGGGATTGGATGGTTATAAATTTAAGGTAAAATAAGCGCGAGATCGCATACCTCTCCACCTCGACTTTGGGCTCAGCCTTCATCGCGGCCTCCAAAACACTCGGTAGCCGTTGAGGTTCGGCGACCGGTGAGAAGGGCCTGCTGGGACTCGCCGTGATGTACTGAGGCGAACCAGTCTTAAAATCCGCGGAGGACGAAGTGGCGTACGTGACGCGACTCGACGACGAGAACGAGTCCGCGGTAGTCGGCTCCTCCATCGCCGTGAACACCTGATTCTGGGCGAAGGCGACGATCTTGGGAGTACTCGCGCGTGACTCCTCCTCTTTGATCTCTTCCGACACCATGTCGGCCGGCTGCGGCGACAAGGGCGGTGAGCTCGGGTCCGGGCTGGACGTCTCCACGGTCTGCGTGGAGCCCACCGGCGGCAAAGACATGACCGACACCACCTGAAGCGCGGCCACCGCCTCCTCCGTTTCCTGCGCTATCACGTTGTCCGTGTGCTCGATCACCTAGGACAGTAGCGTTTCTCGTTAATTTTTTTTATTATCGTACCCTGTCTCTCGGCGCGATTTGTCCATTCGCGGCCGTCGAACGCCAGATCGATTGTTCCGCACGCGAAACGCCGTCAGGTAAAGGGGAGAGGGGAGGATAAAAGAAATCAATTCAATCGAAATAATAAAACGGTATGCAACATTGCAGCGGTCCGCTAGCAGACGCGGTTATCTGCGCGAGCAATTAAAACAATGTTTGCAATATCTTTCGGGGCCGGGAAACGTTTAAATCCTCGAGGGTCAAACGAGTTTACGGTTGAATTATTTTCTGTATCGCGCAGATAGCGATCTCCCGGCAATCGAAATCGCTCGAACATGTTTTTTCATAGACTATGATATTTCAAAGCCTTCGTATCGCGCTTTTATAACGTTTTCGACAGTCATGAATATTATGATTTCGTATCGCCGGATTTAATCCGTAACTCATTCAGCTTCTTTTCTTAGAATTTTATTGATTGATTTGATTTTGGCACGAACCAACTTTTACTCCACTCCCCAAAAGATTAGCGAAAGAAATACGGGGGGGAGAGAGGGAAGGAGGGAGGGGGATGCACGTTACCTCATGGGGCTGATAAGTGATTAGCTGATTGTCTCGGAATCTCTCTGGATACAACTGGGTCTGCTGAATTGCTCTCATTTGTTTCTCTAAATGCAGTCTCGCCTGACGCTCCCTATCTAGCTGTCGCTTGAGCTCCACCACATCGCTGTTCACAACGGAATGTCCCTCTGTGGTCACTGTGATTACCGACAACGGCTCGGGGGACATGCTGCCCAAGCCCTCATCGCCGCTCTCGCTGACGTGCATTGGTAGACTAACGACAACACCTGAGAGAGCAGAAGAAATCGAGATGAGTGAGAAATTGAATCACATATACCTTCCAGTATAAAATGGAAGTAAATCAGCGCTAAGTTTTTGAACAGTAAGACCAAACCAAAATTATCAAAGATATCTTTTCTTATCTATTCATTATCTTCACTATATCAATCGTTTTTACTCTTTAAACAACGCGACATTTACACAAAGCCATCAGACAAACAGCTGTGTATAAAAAACAATTTTTACGAGTAAAACCAACTCGACGTTTTTGCGAAACTAATTTATGAGAGAGGCTCATAAAATCGGATTACAGCCGGCGAAATAACCGCAATGAACTTTCGGAACGTATTTTAGATTTCCATGCGCACATACCGGCGTACCCGACCCGAGTACAATCCGTCCGCGCGATATAAATGAATGCGAGACCGTGAGCGAAATTAAATCTGGTCACTGTTTACGATATAGAGCAAATATAGAGACCATTACACTTCGCGCGGATCAAAGGCCAGTCCATTTGTTTCGACGTTATATTAAAGCGAAGTGAATGTAACGTTCCTGTATGTCACTTCATTTGCACATTGTTTGACATCGTAGAACGTTATACGGTGAATTATAACGCGATAACGGCAGCAGCAAATTGTGCATCGTTCTTGCAAACATTTTCAATCAACCGAACATTTATTAATTGATGTAACTTCCAACAGTAATTGTGATTATCGGCTATTGTTATTAAATACGATCGCAACCGCGTTAGTACCGATTTTTTCCCCCCAGCTTAATACGGATTTAAGAGAGATATGTTCTTAAATTGTTTATAATGTTTTCAATTCATTACATGGTTTTACCATGTAGGAGTATATTTAAATACAACTCGCTGCACCATAACATTTAATTATTTGATTTTTTATATACGAATCTAATTGACATCTAATCATTTAAATAAAATGTAAAACGTAACTCAATAATAAAAATGTATGTTCTTTTTGGTGTATCTTTTCTTATATTTGTACTACAATTTATAGTATAAAAAGAATATCCACAAAAATTTTTTAAAATAAATTTCCACGACTTCGAATTAGCTTCTTTCTGTCTCCGTAGATTCGATCACAAAACGTTATTTCATCGAACGAATAATTATTGTAAATGTTGAGGTTAATATTTGAAGGCAATCGGGAGGGTTAACCGCGATTGATCGATAAAAGTGGTTCGTCGGCATTAAATCCGCTTCATCGCACAGCCGACGACGAACTTTCTGAATATCGTCGTGCCATCGAACGGAGGAAACTAATTTACGATAGAACCGGAAATTGAAATTGTCTCGGCCGAAGTTCGCGACAGATACTTTCCGACGGGCACACCGCCGCGACGGCGACGGCGACGTCGCCGAAACGCCACCGGCGTCGAAACAGCGGAGCACCCTTAATTCGCCCCTTGTATTTAGCCCCTCCAAGTAATAAAGACTTTCGAGGACGAACCCGAGCGGCTGTGTGCCGTTGCCTATCCGTTTCTCTGGACCCTTTATAATCCCCGAAAGTTTAGCCTTCCGGTGATATTACCCTCTCTCGACATCTAACGATGCATGTGCAATGACACATCACACGGTTTCAACAATTATTTACATTAAGACCAAAGCTTTCGATATTACTTGGAGATGTCAACTTAAATATAAATTGAGACTCTATTCCACTTGTTTCATTACTCGAAGAAAGTAATAAAATATCGGGATCTCTCCAAGAGATTCTCCTTCACGTATAGATGATAACAATTGAGAATTGAGTTTCATAAATCAAATTAAATTTTGTGGAAATTTTTCATTTATATATAAGCGATACCATCACCTCGTTATCACATTAAGCTCCCCCTCCTGAAATATCCTGTACATCCCTTCGGCGCGATACCGAGTCGCAAAGAATGTAATTACTTTCGCGAAAATGACGAACGGCTCCCTCAAAATGTGTCCGCATTGACCACGTTGTCGACACGAGATTAAAAAATTCCTGCTTGCAAAATTTGCCACTCTTGCCGCGAAATGTTATGATCGCTAGTATATTGGTTCGATGATTATGTATAAATGAATACAGAAAAAGGAATTTTAGGCTTTTTGCATATATAAACATATTGTGGCGACGCGCGGTCGAATTTATAAAAGCGAAAATCCATAAAGTCACGTTTATTTGAAAATACGACGTTATTTACTTATTTTTGGGCGGAAGTTTCGGAGATGCAACAATTCAATTTCGCGATTGAGAAATAACTTATAGAAACTTCGACGTGGCGCCGTATAAAAGCGTCGAAAACCGTGAAATAAGCGGATTGCAATGTATATCCGCGCAACTTTTCGCGCTTTGCACCGATTGTTTCCGCTTTTTGCTTTTTACGATCCGAAATCCACACGGGACACTGCAATCGCGATCGCACGAGCGATAAATAATTCAAGTCCATTTGGAAAATCTTGTTATGCGACGGCCGATGAACGTTAATTCCATTGCTCTTTATGTATACAAATGTTTGCGCACGCAAGCAACGACCGTGAGGATGTTTTATTGATGCATTTTTATATTATCCCTGCATTTTCGCGGCTTGCAATGAATTTCTTTTTCTTTTTATGGAGGAAAATTGCTCTAAAATCGTTTAATTTATGAAAGTAGAAAAAACTATCTTCTTTCGCAAAAGTATATGTATGCACATGCAAATATTTTTACTTTTTGTATAAATAAATTCATTTTAAAAATAGATAAAGAATTACTTTGGGTATCGGGTTTGCGTTTCTTGATGGGTACATCGCCACCTTCGTGTTGATTTATCAACCGTTTCAGTTGGCAATTTTGTGACAGCAGTTGTGTTTTCTCTTGCTCTAATTGGTATATGTATTCGGCAGTCTGTTGGAGTATCGCAGCCTGTAACATAAATAAAAAGAAATTATTTCTTGCTGAATCAATAACATTTTTTGCAAGTGTCACGATCTCTCTGTGGCAAAACGCACGCGTAAGTTATTTTACGCTTTGAATTAAAATCACGAAAATTACATTGACAATGAAGAAAGGACATCAAAATTTAATAAAAGTTATCGAGAACAACCCGGGGGACTCGAGACAAGGGTTCCCCACCCCGCCCCCCATAATAAATCCAGAGAGATCGTCGCAGGTGTTTCCTACACGCATCATATGCAACCTGCACCGGAGAGGACCATCGCTAGAGGGAAGAGGAGAGAGGAACAGGGGCTTCCTGTTTACTGTGCCACGAGCTTAAAGGGTTTTACGTGATCAGGGTGGAAAAGAAGGGGACGACCACACCGTATGGGCCCGATAACATCCGGCGGAGGCCCTATCGCGTGTCTCGTGCGTACTACGTCGTAGTAAAACGGGAATGACTTCGAGGAACAGACCGGCAAAAACAAAAGGGCCGATTGATACCAACTGCGCGGGGTAACGGGGCCGGGTGTACGGTTCGCACCTGCCGACAGGTGGTTAACGAACAGATGCCCCGCGTACGCCGCGATCGTAAATGCACGAATGATGTCTGCCGCCGCCTCGTCCTTTCTCTCCGAGCAGCCGGTCTTTCGCGTCACGTTCTTACGCTGAAGGAGAAAAAAAAAGGCCGTGCTCGATTATCCCCCTCGGAGATGCTCTTTTTTTCGGCGCTAATTGGACACCAGCCTCGAGCAATCGAGCGATTGATACGCGCGAAACTTTTGCACAACTTTTATCTCTATATCTACTTCTATCTGTGTGTACAACTTTATATGACACATCTCGTATAAGTTTTTCTTTTTTGAAAAAATAAAAAAGTGACTTTATAAAGTAAAATAAAACGAACAGCAAATATATATAAATAAAATGAAACAAAGAGCAAAAGTATATTAAAGCTTAATTTAAAAGTCAAAAGTTCGTCTACTTTGCCAATCTTCGAGCTTAATAACTGGAAATGATAAATAGTAATATTTTGTATACAATAAAAATATGGAAAGGTGTCCGCATAAATTGATATGCGATAAATTATTTTTACAGGATAGAAATTACGATAAAAACATGCAATGTGTATGTATGCACTCGTTGATTAATAATTATTTAAGTGAACTGAGAAAAAAGATTTATCGCAAAATATGGCACATCCGGATCCGTACATATATATTACAGTTTCTTCATTTTCATCTAATTTAAATATGCAAGTGATCGGAAACGGATATGCAAATGCAGACGGATTTAATAATAGTCATTAAATGAAACATCATAAATAAGTTAAGTTTCAAGTCACGCTTATCTCCACAAGTGTGCATAAAACGAAAAGTAATAATATCAGATATATAATATATAAAGGAATGTAATGCGAAAACTTAAGCCTTGAGTAATTTCATCGTCTGAATATATAAAGTGTAACGTTATTTTAATTATTATTTACGCAAATAATAATTAAGATAATCGCTTAAAAGTAAATCCAAAAATAATATTTTATTTTGAGCGATTATAACTCACTAGATAACTTAATAAGTTTATTAAAAAGAAAATATAATCGCTTGATCAAGTATTTTTAGGTATATATTTCTCAGAAGTCAGAAGAATCTCAGAAGGAATTCGAATCTTTTTCGCACAATTTCTAACAAATATTCCTACGATTAATTCACGATTTTAAATGTCTTGCTTAAATTTATTTATGTAAAAAGACATAGCGATCAGACGGGAAAGAAATTCTCACAAAAAAAAACAGAACTTTTAAAAAACAGAAGACCATGATAGAGAACATGCTTGTAAAGTTAGATTAAAAATAGAGATTACGAAATCGCGCCTACCATTAACATCTCGTAATATCAATTTTAAAAAATTTTGTGTAATAAAGATATATGCGTTAATGTGATAAAAAGACAGTCAATGCGGTTCATTCACACTCGCGATATTAATTGCTCGGCGCGATTCTCAAGTCGCGCGTAAGGTCGAGAGCGTCACGGCCAACTTTTGCTTTCTCGAGAACGGAATAAAAAGAATCTCATGGAGCAGGTTGGCGTCGATTACCAGGCCGGAAGACCGTAGCTCTCGCACGCAGCTTCTACGGTCTGCTCAGCCCAAGCTCCGATGCACGTGCCGAATTCTTCTTGTTAGCCGAATCGCTCTGCAAAACCCGACGCAGGCCAAGGCCGCGCTCGCCAGCGGCGACGATGGCGGCGGCGGCGGCGGCGGCGATGATGGGGACGATGTTATCTGCCGGTAACGATTTATGGCGCATGCTGGGACAACCTTCTCTTTCTCGAACAAGCCACAAATTCCAGCCGTAGCCTAATTTGTATTCGCGGTAATAATTCTAACTTAGCGATGAGCTAACAACGGTTCTACTTTAGAAAATTTCCATATTGAAATTCAAATTGCTTTTACATTCATATAGCAATAATAATAATTAAATAATGATAATTAAATAAAAGCGTTAAAAATTAGAAAATGCGAATTTTCATCCGTCGATTATTACGCTTCCCGAACTCGTCTGTGCGCGTCAGGAAAAGTTTAAAGTACGACAGCTGCGGTCCCTCTCGCGTCTGAATGGGACGACAATACGCCGCGATCGATATGGGAGTACAAGATGAGAAGGGCGAAATAATGCTGGCAGCTGGCGATCGAAAGAGAGGAAAATCCGCTGCAACGCGCGCGATCGCGTGCCTGAGTTCGTGACCCCACCTGCTGAACTCGTTTCCACGAAGCTCGCAATTCCCCTCGAATAATCGACGAAGGGATGTGTTGCGTGAACGCGCGTTAGTTATTGCGAAAATAATATTTTCCCCAAACATGTGTGAAGGAGAGATATTGATTTACCCACACGCGCACACTTCTTTTACTTTTAACTAAAATTCTCAAATTCGATCTTTTCGCTTTCAGACTTGTTTCTGCAGTTTTGCTCCAAAACAATCGAATCGATTTTTCGAGTATCTGTTTCAAACGTAAAAATTCAGCAGTCTGAGTGTACGAAGATTAACGTTTATTAAACGTTTCTTAACGCAAGCGACAACGAAGCGACGTGTGCGAGAGATTTCTTCTCGTAAGAAAAAAGGGTATACACCGGTCCGAGAGTTCTTGAAAAGACGCGCTTCTACGCCGTTGTCGTTGCACGCAACGTAAGCAACGTGGCATTCTACGACTGGTCACTACTACTACGTGCGCAGCCTCTCTTTTTCCTCTCCTCGCCCTTCCGCACACCTTCGCGCTCGCTCCCTTTCACACTTTCTCCCTCTTCCTCGCTCCCTCCAAGGAAGGGCTCGATTCTCCGCGTCGAGCCTTTCCTTCTTCGGCCCGCGAGAACTTTCCCGTCGAGTCTCTCTCTCTCTCTCTCCGCCGCCACGGCGATGGAATCGAATCGCTTTCTTCTTGTTGCAGCGGCGGCGGCGGCATTCCAAAACACGAACACGCCGATGCATTCGAGCTGGGAGAGAGAGAGAGAGAGAGAGAGAGAGAGGAAAGAGAAAAAAAGAAGAGGGAGAAAAGAGAGAACCTACCGAACTCGCCCTCATTCGGCTGCACTCGCGCGATCGTTTGCAATTCCGCGCGCGAATCCAACAGGAATTCCCTATCACGGCCGCCTTACACTCTATTGTTCCCGTTTGCACCGGTCTATCCCTCTTCCCTATCGCGTCCTCCTCGGCTACAAATTACCGTCGTGATTGCAGATCAATGGAAAACGAAGTCAAAAGATACGATCGTCACGTAAGGTGCGTTGAAATAATTAACGTTAGAACAATTAACGCGTCGTTGAAATTTTTACGCGTTTTACGTTTTAATGCCCGGTATTCGCACAAAGAGCTCGGCGAAAGATTCATAATTAAATATTTCATTACGTGTTATTACATTTTTGCCTGTACAATTCTCTCTATTAGTAGTAATCTACTCAAATAAAAATTCCTCGAAGTTTCTGTATTACGTCCGACGATAATAAAGTTAAATAACTGTAATAATCGTAGAGTTAATAATATACACGTATATATGTATACATAAAATCCTATTTAAATCTCTAATTCATAAGCGCATTTAACTTGTTTCCTTTCGCAAAACGACGCGGTCCGGATTGCCGTAATTAATTGCTGTTATCGCGCCGTACATTCTACGCGCTTAATTACATAATATGCACGAACGAAAATTTTCGAGCAGGCGGAACGGCGCCAATGATTCACCGCGCAAAACGCCGCGCCACGACGCCCGCCGTTATTATTATATCGTAATTACCCTGCTTATAAAAGCGGCAGCTCGCTCGCAAACGCGTTCTCGGCTGGCGTGGCAAAAACACGGAGAGGAGGCGCATGAAATTAACATTCCGCAAAGTAATTTGGTAAATAATTAGTTATCAATTTCCGTAAAAGAGCATCTTTCCATAGTTAATAGCGGCTGTATATAGCTAATGCATAACTAAGAGTCTCCCGCTTCTATGATCATCTAAGAAAAAGACAGGCAGAAGAAATTTAAATAATTATCAAGCTTTCTATAGGAAAATATTATTTATTATTTCAATAATTAAACAATACCTCGCACTGAGGTATTGAAAAAATCTTGGTTATTTTTTAGAAATTCTTTGTTACGTTTATTTCTACTAAAAGTATATAAGTCATCTTTTCGTTTCTATTTGGTACAAATACTATAGACTCTATAGAATCTATGTATCTCTCTTATTTTTTCCCCCGTCTTTTCGTTGATGTTTTCTGATGTTCATCTTTTGTCCGAATGTCGCAACACGCGATTACGTATTTTGCGAGGGGAGCCGAACGTGAGGATACGCGCGGCCTAATTAGGATTCTCGGCGATGAGGTAACGAGGAAGCGAGGTCAAGCCGGTACCACGGCGGGGAAGATAAAAAAAAAAGGCGGACCGTAGGCTGCTCCGCGCGGTCGTTTTTTGAAAGCACCTTCCTGGAAGGGAACCCTTTGTGACCG